AATATTAAACCCATTTAAACTCCACTTTTATTCCATTTCTTCATATTTGCAGGAAAATAATTCAATAGAACTAGTCCTAATTATACTTCAGGGTCACCCAGTAGGATTCCTAATGTTTACTGCTTACTAAAAATTATGCTGCAATCACCATTTTAATTCCTTCATTATGCAGATCTAGACAGAGTAGGCCTAGAAACTTTCTTATTAAAACTGCAGGAATCAAGATAGCTGTCCCTAAAGTCAGTTCAGAGCTAACTAGATATTTCCATGATTTTGTTTCACAATGTTTATGATGATGGAAAATTTGATTCTTGAAGAGAAATAAAACAGAAAAAAAGGATGAGATTTTAAACTGTGTGTAAACAGTTGAGAAATAGAAATTTAGAGAGCATTAACGAAAATGTGCATTTTTTTAGGTGCTTTTGAATAACCAGCCTGCAAATTCAACATCTATTTCTCTGCAGACAACATGAATTCGCCACCAAACAGGTGTCCTTTTAAGGTGTCCCTTAAAATAGCATCTCCAACCTTTTTCTCCTACTCTGCCTAATCATCAAGAGAACTTTAAGGCTCATCTAGTTCTATTCCCCCGCAGGAACATCTCCAACTAGATTAGGTTGCTCAGAGCCATGTCCAAACTGCTCCTATATGTTTCCTGGGGCAGGATATCTACCAGCTCTCTGAGCAAACTGTACCAAGTGTTTCACCACTCCCTTTGCAATAAACCTTTCCTTGTATGCACTCTAAGTCTACCTTCTTTTAGTTTAGAACTTGCCCTATTGCAAAAGGCCCTGCTAAAATGTTTCTCCCCAGCCTGAAAATTTTTATGCTTCAGGTACTGGAAGGCTGCTATAAAGTTCCCATTTAGCCTTTCCTTATCCAAACTGAACCCCAGCTCGCTCAGCCTGTCTCCACAGGAGAGGTGTTACAGCCCTCTGAGCTGGATCCAGCCTTAATCTCAGCCTTGGTCAGTGGTTTATGTCTAAAGGTTTGCACAATCAGCCCTTTGTATCACATAGCTAAGATTCCAAAGTTGAACATGCTATTATTCACTTACTGAGAAGCTGCTGCAGGAAGCAATCTCTCAGCCTCAAGGAGTAACCATGAGACATGTCCCTACTCAAGAGGAGAACCTGGCACACAGCCTCAACAGGCTTTCCACTACTCTCCACCTACGTGGAGTGAGATAACTGGCTCATAGTCTTATCTGCATAGCAATGACAGCAGTTAGTTTTTTCCAAACATGGTCTGAGCCCAGCCTTGATCAGCACTATGGCTCAGATTAGTCCTTGGCTACTGTGTTGTCTGTGGATCCATGTCCACACTATTTCACATGCAGCCATCATGGCCAGATGCATCCATTACACTTGGGACAGGCTGTTTATTTGGGATGAATGTGGGCAAAGATAAGGCACAGGGGTAGCAAAGAAGAAAGGGCAGGAAGCGCAGATGTCCGTGGAGAGTGAAATGTGTCCCCAGACCTCGGTCTGCAGCTAACACAACACCCTCAAGCACACACACACAGTCCTCTGCACACATCACAGGTAATTATAAACACTGTCAAAGGCTCTTTCCATCCTGGAATTTGCCTTTATGGAACCCATGATAATTTGTTAGTTTCGAGGAGTTCTTCCTCCAACATTACACTCCCACTTAATTTCCTGATTTTTTTTCTGAAAACTAATCTTAACACACTAGTTTAGCACTGAAGCCTCAATTTCTGTCTGAAAGCATACATTTCTATGCTGCCTGACCCATACAAACATTCCATAACTATTCAGCCCTTTCGAAGCACCTGAACCACCCATCTCCTACCGCCAGTGAAGCCTTTTCCTTCTTTGCCTCTCTTCCTATATGAATCCTCCAGGATCTTGTCTCCAACTCTCACACCCACAATTTCTGATGGCTCAAGTCTGAGCACATTTCCTGTAGAGGTAGTGCAAAGTTACTCCTAAATCAGCCAAAAATGTTCAGCAAAACCAGCAAGAGGTACTTTCCCTTAGAAGTCCTATGTAACACATACTTACGTAGCTTCAGATACTTTCCAACGCATTCACCAACAGCAAAAGTCCCAGAAAACTTCAGAATGTCTTAGGCAGGGCAAGTTACACAGAGGAGGTAAGCATTTTATTTATTATTTTTAGTATTCATTTTATTTATGACAAAAAGGCAGTATACACATGAATGTTTTGAATTCCAAACAAATGAAACTGGTTCTCTGCCACTTTTGTGGATTAAAAATAATCACAGTCATCAATGATACAGTATAAATAAATACAAAAATATAAAAAAAAGATAAACATTACTTTCAAATTAAATTTCAGCAAAAAAAATCACTACTACATAAAGTACTGCATTTGTTCAGCATTATGCTCATTCTCGAACAAACAGGAAAACATACCTAAACTTCTACATCCTAAATAATTGACAACTTCTTCCAACTAGGTTCTGAGTATAGATTCTCCTTCTTACAAGAAAAATGTTTTAACAGCAGAGGTACACACCAGAGAAAAAGGACTGGGCATAAAATACACAGCCAGACCTCCCAGCAACTTAATCTAACGATCATAACACATCCTTGTAAAGCACTTCTGAGAATCTGCATCAACAGTGGCAACACGACATTCTTTATATTTACAGATGCAGTATAATCCTGAAATAGTTTCAATTATCTGAATTTTACTTGAAGAATTTTAAGTATCAGACCTTCAGTAAAAGAATTACTATCACGAGCTAGTCTCATTACAAGTTGAAAACAAAACACATGTTCTTGCAAATAAATCTAACATTTGCAATTTGCAAAACATAAAAGTAGTACACACAGCTGTTTATTTTTTTTCTTATTCATACATCATTTCTAGGCTCCATTTTGTAACATCAGAGAAGCAATATTCTACAACTACATACAAATTAAAGCACAATATACATAAGCAAAAAAAACCATCTACTTAAAATATGCAAGTTGTGTATTACTGTACACAACATGTTTGCATTTAGGGTACCCAAATGATTTTTAAAAATAATAGATGCCCAAGATCCTACTTTTCCAACTGAAAGACAGCCAGAAGTTAGAATCAGTGTTAATTAATATGTGTCAGTGTCTCTATGTGGCACTACATGAACCAGCACAGCAAGTGTAAAGTCATCACTCAACATGAGTAATGTTGCACAATACAATCTTTGTGTTTTATACTAACAGCCAGCAGTATGTCTAACTGTTGACAAAGAATGTGCCAGGTAAGCTTCCAATTTTAGTAGGAAAACCTTGAAATTCTGAAATATAAAGAAACAATGCAATATAAAGAAAACAATCACAAATGGTTACAACCCCCACTCCTTTTTTCTAATCGCTGTATTAACATTACTGATATTTTAAATAGTATTTACTTAAGGAATTTTATCTTACACATTTTCTCATTTGTTAGTAATGGGCATTTTTCACTTATACAGTGAAAATAATATAAGCTTCAAGAATAATTCACCAGCAGAGTGAACCTTGTAAAGATCAGCTGGCATTGTCTCACCTCTTGACTTTCCCAGACATGTCTCTCTTACTGAAAAAAAAAAAACAAAAAAACCAAAAAAACAAACAAAAAAACCAAAAAAACCAAAAAAAAACAAAAAAACAAACAAACAAAAAAAAAAGGTCCCCAGCACAGGAAGGCTTTCAGGTTTTCACATAAATTAAATACATCGTGATATGGAGGCAAAGGGCACATGTGTTGTTAAAACTTGTTTACTTCTAGAGATCCATAAGATATGTTGTCAACCATTAGGGTTGTATTCATTTTCTGACTGAAATTCAAACAATCACAGAGCATACAAAGGAAACCCCTCATTGCTTCAGGACTCTTCATACTTTGTCCAAACAACAGCGGAAGGAGATGAGGGCAGAAAATAAAAAAATAAACAAATACATCAGAAAAACAGTTGACAAATTCTTACAATTTCAGACAAGTTACTGAAAAAAACTACCCTTCCAAGATACACCGTATTATCATCACTTTTCAGTTTTGAAATTTGCTCCTCCCACAAAGGAGAAAAAAATAAAAGGTTCTGAATGCTTCCCTTTTAAGATGTAAACAATATTTTGACTTTACAGTGTATTTACTAAACACCCAGAGAAAACTCCCTCTCTTCACTGTGATGGGGAGGAAGATGAACGAAAAGTATCAGTGGAACACACACCCCTGGCAGAGTGAAAAATCCCAAAATGATGCAACTTAGGTACTAAGAGAACCTTCAGAAGGGGCAATAGCATCTCTACACCAAGAACTAATTGAAAACAACCTAATGCATGTCTCTCCCATAAATGGGGATCCAGATTTTTGGCTTAATCATAGTAAACATTTAAACTTTTCTCACATGGAAACTCTGGAATCAGAACCAAAGAAAATAATATGCGTGGCATCTTTGTTTTCTGAACATCCAAAATATGGAGACATCACCCTGTAAACCAGATGTTACTGCAAATAAATATCATATATATACGTACAAAAACTTCAACAAAAAGGCTGTTTGGTTTATATTGCTTTGAAGTAGTGTTTTTCTAACTGCAACCTACTGATCATTCAACTAATTCTCTGACAGCAGCTTCAGACGCTGTCTTTCCACACTGCAGAACATCAGAATCACAAGCCTCAACCAGTGTTTCTGGTTGCAGATTTACTGTGTGTTATGACAACTTTCCTTTTCTTGTCATCATAATGCTGAAAAAATCCCATCCTCACAGTACTGTCCATCTTTCACAGGTTTTCCTTCCTTTCAGTGTTGCAAACTCAGATCCTTTGTTAATGGTATTCCAGCAGCCACTTTTACCACACTCTCTTCTTTGAAACTTTTTTATAGCTAATGCTGTGCTTAAAAAGCCTTTTTTGTTTCTCTTCTTTGCCTGACTTCTGTCAGCAAAATCAGAATTGTTATCATAATTATATTCTGGTTCACAAAGGGAAGCATAGTAACTAGAATCTGGCCACTTCACTTGCAATTCTTTTTTCTGATTAGAGTCTGTCAACTGCAATGGGACAGCACCTACTGTGAGAGCAGACTGCGTGGCCTGCAGCAATTAAGGCATCAGACAGATTGCTATCTTCACACAAAACATCCACCTCTAACTTCATTTCAGAGCCATAGTGGATAAAATGAAATATCAGACCTGGTTTATGAAGAAGCTGCTGAAACAGAAGTATGGCTTCCTCACTCCAGTGCTCCCCCTTGCCAGGTACTGTATCATGCAAAGAACAAGAGTGTGCCAAGCGTGGCAAGTGTAACAGACTTTCTGGAACAACTTTGAGTTTATGGATATCAGAATAAGGTATGGTCCTCAGAAAGCCATAATCAATAAACGTAAGAACAACAGACTGATCTGTTACTTCATTAATTTCCGCCCTGTACCACTCTGCTTCCTGCCCAAACTCGATCAAGCAGCTAGCACCAGGTATCACGAGTTCTTCCGGCAGAACCGGCAAGTTGTCAGGAAGGTCAGAGAGCAGCAGGGACAAGTTTCGCATGCTATCAAAGAAGATTTCAAACTGGACGCTGAAGTTTGAAGGATCAGTAACTGCAGTTGCACACCCAGGATATGTTCTGCCACTACTCAGCAGCATCCACATGACTGAATTTATGTTGAATGACGTATCAAACTCCTTACAGTTTGTATTACTACATTTTTCTGGTCCAACAATTGTCCAACAATGACTTAAGAGCTGGTTCAAATACTCCTGAAGTGTAACTTCTCCCACTAAAATATCTACCTCCCAGATATCAGATGACTTCAAGTATCTCAGAAACAAGATCCTTATTTCACAATCTAGAAGTGCATTTACTACATGGTCTAAGTGAATTTTCTTCAGGTTTTTAAAACAAATCCACCTACAATAAACAGCTTGTTTAGGAATACTCTTAATCTCATCACTGAGCATCTTTGCATTATTTAAGGACACCATCTCACATGTGCCGTAATCCATGAAAAAAACTAGCATTAACTTTTCCCTGACAAATTTCTTTATCACTTTTGATCGATTCCATTTTAAGTTCCTTTCAGATTGTGTAATGCATTCCAGACCCTGTTCAATGTCATCCACTCTAAGCAAATCACTTCTTTGTGCTTCTTTGTCAAGCATTACATTTAACTCATGTAGTATTTGCAGATTTTTAAGTAACTGTACATAAAATTCTCCATTCTTTGAAATATTAACTACTTCTGCTGCTTCTACTTGTCCAGAATTTAACACCTGATGAAGTAGACGTAAGGGTTTTACGGAAATATTTTTTATCCCAGGAGCCTTGGTTTTATTTTGGCCACCTAAACTATTCTTAGACTTTTGAGAATTACCATGTTTAGGCCTATTTTCCAAAGAAAATACCCATGTGCTATTCCACCTTATGCTGTCTATTTTATGCAAAAGGCTGTTAGACAATGACTCTCCATCACAAATTACATCTATTTCCCATTTTTCTCCATGTTGCTCTAAGAACTTGCAAGCTACTGGCTTGTCACTTACTGTTCTTGCAAAATATGCAGCACTTTCTTTAGTCCAGCTTTCCCCAGGAACACTTTTCGCACTAAGGAAACAATGAACACTAAACCTTGGCATAGTTAAGAACTTTTCTGGAATCCTGCAGATTTTTGACGAACTTACAACTGCAGCATTACCATAGTCAATAAATTCTACCTCATAGGAGTTTCCTGATTTCAGAGTTTTAATAACTGCTCTGTAGTAAAAACAATCAGCGTCATGCTCTGCAACAATGAGATCCCCTACCATGAGCTCATTTAAGCAATTTTCCCAACCTCTATTCTCCAAGCTTTCATTCAAATCATCTGCTAGTTTTATTATTAAGTTTTCATCCTCTGCAAAGTGAACATAGAAACTTGATGGACTATTTATATGAGAAATATAACCTGCTACTTCGGTATTCACCTGGATATCACGTTGAGGAAGGCTGATTAATGTAGGTGTATTTTTATTACTCCTTTCCTGTTGACCTGTACAATTTGGTCTTTCATTCTGAGAGTCAGAGAGAGCATTTACAGTTATTTCCTTTAAATGTAAAGCACAATAAGATAGGGAGTGAGAAGCAGGTTGTCCAATCCAAGGTTCCTCTCCGTTCTCCAGAAGAGCACTGAAAGTATTTCTAAAACTTTGCTCTTTGCTGTCCTGTAAAGTTTGCTGTTTTGAGAATCCACTACACAACTTTGGTATGCTACATGCAGTTTGCTCTTCATCTCCAAATTTCTCACCAGTATCTGCCTGGTAATGCTCATCACAGGCTTGGCTTTCCTGTGCCAACTCTTCCAATACCTTTTCTTTAATTTTCTGACTTACTGTGAGCTGTCCATCATACAACTCCACAACAATCTTTCCATCTGGTTCTCTGGATAAAATTACAGCCTTCAGCAATTTACCAAGGAATGTTTTCACAAACCATGTAGTAATTCTTGCTGGAAATTCTGTCCCCCTAAGATCTGACAGACAGAATTTAATAGCTTGCATGGGTGTGAATAGTAGGTCAGCGGCAGAATCTGGAATAGGCATCAACTGATCTCTCTCCACCATACTCCTATTTCCAAAATCCACATAGTCAACCAACAGAAAGGATGTTGATTCCACAGGAAAAGCCAAAGCTCTGTAAAAGAGACCATCTTCCACATACTTGGCTATGCATAGTCGTGTATTGCCATGATAATTTGCATTACCTGACATTTTACTTACGTCACTAACCCTCTTCATCAATGCCTCAAGAGTTTCAGAGTTGCGGTTAAGGTGACAATAGAATTCTGAAGGACTATTTATATGAGTTATATAAACCTCCTCCTCACTTCCAATTTTTATATTGAAAGATGAATAGCAAAAACTATACAAAGAACCCAAAGATGCAAAGTTTCTCAGTCCAACACATTCAGGCTGAGTGAGACCACGTTCTCTGAAGAATTCATCTACACTAGCAAGTGGAGTCTGTAAGTCAACTACATTACATAAACAGTTGGGGCTCACAAGAACAAGAGCATAAATGGTGCAAGTCAGTGGTCCTCTAGGAGAAGAAATGAAGTCTACAAACTGTCTCTGCACTTCTTCAGACCAATTAACTGAGTCAGTCTGTAAGATTACATTTTTAAGTCCACATCGAAATGCTTGACTCTCTAGAGCTAGAAAATCTGGAAGAACACCCTGTACATCTTTAAGTGAAACTCTTTCCTGATAACCATAGTCTACAAAAACCACATCAACTTCATTTGTGGATACCTCCTGCACAACAGTGGCTCTATACCACTTCCCATCTTTGGGATACTTAACAACACAGGCAACCTGTCCAGTTTTGTAGGGATTGGTATGATGTTTATAGTATGTCTGAATTTGTCCCATTAAGTTATTTAGCTCTGGCAGTTTGCTTTGCAGTTGACATGAAAAATCTGCTGGGGAAAAGATGCAAGAACACACCACTTCATGAGCAGCTCCTGGCCTAAACACAAGCTCCTTATAAACTAATTTTTCCTCACATACCGATTTATGCATTTTAGAGACAGCACGTTCTCCTGAACAGGATGGCACAACAGATTCTCTAGGCACTGGCAGCACATTTAATGATTTTTCCTTCTGAAGCATGTCTCCATTTCCAGACACCTTATTTTTGCAAATATTACTGGTGTTCTCTGCATTGATTTTTTCTTTTTTACATTTGAGGTGATTCCCACTGTGCCGCTTTTTTGCTGCCCTCAGAACAGAATCTGGTGGCTTCAGCCGATATTCAGCATAACCAGCTTGAACCATACACGCGGCAACGTTTCCTTGCAGGAAACCAGTATGACACTGCACATTAACAATGTACTTGTCGTTTTGCTTTCCAACGACATGAAGTAGCAGTGGTTTGTTCAACACCACGTTTTTAAAGAAATCAGTTTCTTTTTTAACCCACACACCATCAACAGGAAATGTGCAAGCAAGGGAACAACACATAGCTAAAGCTGGTAAATCAGAAAACTCAGGAAGCAATGTTTTCACATAGTGACAAGGTATAGTATCTGTATTTCCAAAATCTAAAAAGTAAACCATAATGCTAACACGAAACACTTTTGTGACAACACCCCGGTAATAACACCCATCCCTGCTATACCGGGCACAGCACAGCAACCCAGGCTCTGGCTTTTTAAGGACCATCTCATCATCTTTATATTGACTGTAGGTGCAGGCAATGTTTTTCATCAAGGCATGAAACTCCTTCTGGTATCTACACGTTTGAATCCAAAAGTCAGATGGATTTACAACGTATACTACAAAAGCTCCATAAAAAGAGTTCATTTCCATCTCTACTCTCTTGCAGTGGCTGGAGAAAGAAATGTCCTGTTCAGGTAAGCAGGTTTTTTTATCTTTGTTTCCAGAGTAATTCTTAGACGAATTTTTTCTTTCAGGACTTGGTTTGTCGTTTAGTGCAATGCTTCTGGTTTTTGTTTCCAAAAGCGAGACACATGGGGCAGCTGTCTCATTCTGGTCTTCAGGATGCTCAGCATTAATTCCAAGATTTTGTTTCTGCAGCGTTATATAATACAAGCGTTCAGAGTTGTTGTATAAATCAACTTGGACACACACAGAGGTTTGTCCTATTAAGGCTTGTGTAAGTTCTTTGAGCTGAAATTTTATTACTGTTTCATCCTGACTACCAAAACAAGACAGTGTACATGGAAATGAAACCATTGGTAATGTCATGAACTCAGCTTTCAGTTTCCAAATACAACTAGGTGGCACAGCTTCAATAATGCCAAAATCCATAAACCAGACCTCCACGTGGTCAGAGAGGAGTTGTTTTATCACTCCTCTATGCCACTGTCCATTTTGCCTCTTGGCAGCACAGAGCAGCCCAAAACTATCACAAGATGTGGTATTTTCTCCAACAAGAGCTTCATAGTACAAATGCATAGCTCCTGTCAAACATTCCAGCTCTTTCTGCCATTTCTGTATCTGACAATAAAATTTATTTAGGCTTACTGCACCAGTTATTTTTACATTTTCTTTACTGCCAACAGGTAGACATGGAAAGAGTTGATCTGGAACATGCCAAAAATCTGTTGGTTTCTCAGAATTATTTACAGTAAGTAACTCCCTGAACGGATACTTCTGTGTCAACAGTTGTGGCATTCTCTTAGAAAGCATTCCTTGGGGCAATGCTCTTAAAGTTTCTACAACAAGACAAAATGAATCTCCATCAATAAATTTACCTAGCTGCAGTTCAAGAACATCAGTAATAATCTTAGGCACTTCTAGAATAAACAGCTGATATGGTGTAACAGCCTTCACATGACCAGTGATCTGTAATCCTACCAGAGATGAAAAATAGTTAACAGCTTTTGGACCCCATCTTTCTCCAAGAGGAAGTATGCTTGCAAAAACACCCAAAACCACCTTTGGAGGGAGCTGAAACAGCTTATCACTAGCAGCAGCAAGATGTGTTTCCTCAACAGCCAACACATGTCCAGTGTCTATAAGAAAAGTCTCACAGATATTCCCTTTTTTTCTCAGAACTCTTCCTCTATGCCATTCTCCTTCTGTGTCTTCCACCAAGCAAGATCCACCAACAGAGACATCATCTTTTACTTTGAACACGCGCTGTATTTCATTTTGTAGTATGAAATAGTCAAGCTCACATCCTACGTTGTACTGAGCCTGGAACACTATAACCAAGCAGTCAGGATGGCATTCTACATGAGTTATCTTCAATTTCTTATCTACTGAGTCTGGTGAAGGAGTCAGAGATTCCATCCTGTCTGCAAAGAAAAAGAGTATGATCATCTTGATAATTTTATTTTTTCTTTGCAGCTAATTCCTTACATGATGTTTGTTTTCAAAATGGTTTAACAGCATATTATTAAAATTCTGGCTAAAACATGTACTAAACATTTAAAAATGTCATGTCTTAGGCAACTGGGATACACTCCACACAATTCTCTTAGTAAAGACATGCTCAGATAACATGAAAAAAAGTACCTCTGGATTCACTCACATGGCAACAGACTGGTTTTACCATTTGAGATTAATTTTTAACCAAAATGTTGCTCCCACAATAACACAAGGTATTCCAGTCTGTTTCTCCTTCCTTTTCATATGTAAAAGACCAAGGACTCATCCCCTACTCACCACTCTGCTTTTTCTGTCTAAATCACTTCTTCAAATCACTGACAATTTATAGCTCCATGCTCTACTGTTTACTCTGGCTGTCTGTACCAATTGTACCAATAGCATATTTAAGGTTCTCATAATTGCAAGGACATACTGAGATTATCATCTATTTCTGCACTGCTTATCAAGTAACAACTGTGCCAGCTGTGTTTTGTATGGTCTCAACACTCTAATTCTGACAGTTTTAATATCCTGAAAACATTCAGAAACTTTTCTGATCTATAAACCAGTCCTGAAGCCCAACTTCCAGTTTAATTCATACATCAATGATTCAGTGAATCTCTGACTTCACATTGCTTAAAAAGGCTGTGTATGACAAAAATTTAATCAAGCAATTCCATTAAATGAACTGCTGTTCTAACAAAGTAATTTAAGGTAGACAACATCAAATGCAAAGACAGTGGATAAATACTCAAGGACAGTCTGGACAAAGATAACCTTGATTTATGAATTTTTATGTAAAGCTGGAACTTAAACTTTCAGTTTCAACTACAAGGTTTTAGGGCAAGCTACTCCTTAGCCTGCAAAAAATCTTCAGTGAAACTGTCATGATAGTTTTCATCACAACCAAACATGAAGTAGCAAGTGAATACACAACCCGTCTTCAGAAAAAATATTGATCCCTATCATTCTAGCTCACAAAAAAAAAAAAATTTAACCCCCTTCCCCCGAAAAAAAAACAAACAAAAAAACCCCTCTAATAAAAAAATGAGCACCCCTACTGTAATGCAGTGGGGCAGAAGGATGGAGGATGAATAACTTCTAAAACCAACCAGAAAAACAAACCCCAAAAATCAAAACCACTGGACACCAAAAAAAAACTCCTCCCAGTAAAAGCAGCATCAAACCCAGATCTGACAAATTCCTGCTTCAACAAGGCCCCTTTTATCCACCTTCCATTGTAACAGAAAGTAAAAATCTGGGTGCTTTTAATAAAAGCAAACAGCCTTAAGGAATTGGTGCTGTCTGCCTGGAAGAAACGTTTGATCACTACAAAGATTTAGACTTTAGAAGGGGCCTGACTGAAACTTTGTTCCCTGCTCCCTTTTTTTTTCCCCCCCTTCACTGAAACTATGCCCTATTTGCACTAACACATAACAAAATAAAACTATTTGTGCATTAATGCTTGTCTGTTATCACTGTCTGAACAAGAACATCACACTGAAACGGCCACATTTCTACAGCTGACAAAATGGCCTTTTGCTGTTTACTCACCTTTCCACCTTCATTAGTAACACATCTTCTAAAGCAAACACGGCCCAGTAGTGGACAACTACCTGTCTCTCTATGAGGAAGAAGGGTAGAAAAATGATTAGAAAAATACACATCAACTAAATTCTTGTACTACTTCTGTTACTGAGAGCACCCCTGAGGATAAAGTCTTTGGGGTGTTTGTTGACAAGAAGCTCAACATGAGCCAGCACTGCCCACTCACAGCCCAGGAAATCAAACACAACCTCGGCTGCATCCAAGGCAGTGTGGGCAGCAGGTCCAGGAAGGCGACTCTGCCCTGCCCTAGCGAGACCCCTGCAGGGCTGCATCCAGCTCTGGGGTCCCCAGCACAGGAAGAACATGGACCTGCTGGAGCGAGCTCAGAAGAGGCCACAAAAATGATGGGAGGGCTGGAGCATCTCTCCTAGGGAGACAGGCTAAAGGAGCTGGGTTGTTCAGCCTGAAAAAGGGACAGTTCCATAGAAACTTTACAATACCTAAAGGGGACGGAAAGGGACCTTTTACAAGAGCATAGGATAATAAAAAAGGAGGGAATGTCTTTTAACTGAAAGGGAGTAGGTTTATAATAGATATTACAAAGCAATATTTTATTGTGAAGAAAATATTTTATTGTGAAAAAAAGTATTTTATTGTGAAGGTGGTGAAGCACTGGAACAAGTTGTGCAGAGAAGCTGTGTCTGCCCCATCCCTGAACAAGCTTAGGATGGATGGTTTTCTGAGGAACCTGGTCCGACAGAAGGTGTCCCTCCTTTTGGGCCCACGGCAGGGGGACTGAAACTGGATGAACTTTAAAGTTCCTTCAAACTCAAACAATTCCACAATTCTCTGAATCCTCCTCCTGCCTGATAAACACACCCTGGAAGTTCCTCATACTTAGTTGAACTATAAACTTAAGACCACAAAAAACAAAATTACAAAACTGAAAAAATTGAATCCACCCTCCTAAAATCACAGTCGGGCTATACTTCCATCAATGAAGCTCAAAAACCCAAACTAGTCAGAGGACACCACACAGGCACCCAACACCTACTTTCTAAGCAGGAGTGGTCACACATTTGTATTTCCTTGCAACTGTTAAGCCATTAAAATGCATACTTCTATCACGCACCACTAACTTTAAGACAATTCATGCCATAACAAAGGGACTTTTAAATGCAACCAAATGCAAGACACAAGGTACAGACTGAGCCGCCTGTACTCCAAAGCAGGCGCTCTGACCGGCGCTGTCTGACGCGGCACTCACCTAAGAGGAGCCGGGCACGGGCAGGAGGGCACGGGCAGAGGCTGCGGCCACCCAGGGGGGTCGAGGGGTCGGGAAATGGAGCGGAGCGGAGCAAAGGGGAGTCCAGCGCCCTCCAGCAGCCGCCTCACCGCACACGGGCGGCAGCGCCGAGCAGGACGCGGCGGCGCCGCACGCCCAAAATGGCGGCGCGAAGCGCGGCCGGAACGTGCTGCCCGGGAACGCGCGTGCGCAGCTGCACTGCCCGGCACTTTCTCTCCTCGGGCGTGGGGCCCAGGAGAGCCCGGGGTAAGTGCTGTGACCGTGGGTTCGAGTCCCGGTTCCTCCTTCCCGCCGGCGCTGCGGCCTGGCTCGCTTTCCTACTAGAGTTGTGCTTTATTTGTTTGTGTGCTTGCTTCTCGTTGTTTTTCCTTGGCGTTTGCACGCGTCGTGTTTTTGGGATGTCACGTGAGAAAAGTGCCCGTGGGTCACAGAACTTACTGGAGCTGCCTGAAGAGGATTCAAGAGCTCTTACTCTTTTCCATCAGCAAAAAGAAATTCTCTAGGCTGAGAAAGGTACATCTTAACAGAGGGCAAAGTGCTGCCCCACTTGTTTTTGCATGTACGTCAGATTTTATTTTTCTTTTTTCTTAGGGGCTCGGAGGCAGTGTTGTTTTTTGATTTTATTTGGGGTTATTTTACAAAGAGTATAAGCTGAAGTGGTCTCAACAAGAGAACTTGATATGAAGTATGCTCCTGTAAATATCAACATGATGCTATGTCTGTAACTGACTGCACTCTAGAAAGGGTTCAGCTGCATATAATAATTTGTAAGGGTTATCTTCAGTTTTTGCACTTTGTTTTCTCAAAATGTCAGCATTGCTGCTACACTTTGCAAAGTTGAGAGAGAAAAGCTGGGTTTGCAATACTTGAGGATGCAGTAATCCCTGATGCTATAAGTAGCTGTGGAATTATTGGTTTCTCTGTTATGTGTTAACTTTTGCAAATTATTATTAATCACAATAATTTTGATGTAATGCAGTTTATAATTACTTTAAACTGTTTTTGATATAGTATAATTTGTCCGTTTTTGTGGCCAGTCCTCTGGCCATGTGTCCCAAAAACAGCTATTTTATATTAAAATCGGTATAATAGATGGTTAAAGTGGTATGTACCTACTTGCATTAACCCTGACATTTACAGGAGCTCTTAATTTGATTTTGTAGGTAAGCCATTGTGTTTATCAGGGTTAAGTATTTGTAAGAGTTACTCAGAACAAAGGTTATAGAAGTCTATCACTGATGGAATTTCAATTTCATGTTTCTGGGTAAAATGTGTAGTTTATCTATGTAGTTTTGCTTGGTGTCAGATGATCAGACTTTAGATGCATAGCCTAGTTAGAGTTATGTAAGAATGGGCTTCATTTGTACCACATAAAGAGAGAGGAAATAAAACCAGATCTTTTGAAGAAGTTGGATTCTTGCAAGATTGGAATGTCAGACTGAAATCTGGAACCCAAGGTTCTATGTGGTGTTACCATTTCCTACATTGTGAAAGGAAAGGGTTGCCTAAGACTGGGCAATTCAGAAGCCCTAGGTACTGGATAAAGATCAGTCCAGAACTTCTGACTACAAAATACTAGGCTGTGGGGTATGGTTATGTTTTTGGTGGTAGTTGAGGCTGAAGTCAGTCCTAAAGGCTACCACTGCTTTTTTAAAGGCAGAGACACCTCCATTTTTTCCTACTAAAGTTACAGTGGTGGCAGCAGCTGTAATACAGTCACCTTCTGGTTAGAGCACTCAGAAATGCAATCTTGCAGCTTGAGCTGGTTTTAGAAATGTGCACCATTTCCCTTCAGCATGCCTTAACCATGGGCAGTTGTGCGTCTTGCTTGCCTGAGGTTGTGCTGAGATGTAGGATGGGTATGTGGGGGGCAAGGAAAAACAGAAGTTATAACCAGGCAATCTGACAGGTACAATAGGGTGCTGGAGCTTTCTTGCATTTTCTGAAAGGAAAAAAGAACTTTTTTGCTAGTTATGAGTTTGTCCCAAAATTTATTTGAAATTTACATAATTACAGCCAATGAAAGAGCATGTCTTTTCTGACACTCGAGTGGAGGTGGTGTTTGATGCTC